TCCACACTTTGGTTGTATGGAAGATAAAAATTGAACGATTTTCTTAAGTTTACAAACCAGATTGACAGAGGACCGAATTCACAATGGAAATTAGAGGATGTGGAAGTCATGAGCTCGAATGGGACGCTCAAGAATAGATTGTTCAATCGAGAACATAGGCCAGAATAATACTAAATTTCAAGTCTCAGCAAAACTACAGATTTAAAATCGTAATAATGAGGAACATGATCATGAGAAGCCTACAATTAACGGATGTGGAATTCTGGACAAATTGACTCGGATGCGCCTCAGCAATGGATACCAGAGAGAAATAAGGCAAAGAAACATAGTGCTGTGAAAAGCCGATGAAAGGAAGGAGGTTATGAAAGTAAGCTAAGGATGGAGAAAGACTCACGAGGCTTGGAATACTGACTTTCCTGCGAACTAACTCAAAAACTAGGGTCAATATTAAGAAAAGGGAACATTTAGGTGATCACGTGGAAAAAAACAACACTTATCACGAGTCTACCCAGGCAACATGAAAGGGTAGACAATTTGGATTGCTTGGGAGTCTAATTCATGACATGTGGCGTCTGCAAACAAATTTGTAAGATGAGGATAAAAATCAGGATACGAATCAAGGAATATCACGGGCTCTGCAGCAAAATAGATACCAAAAAGGCAGAAATAGCGGAACATATCGTACAGGCTGGACATGAGATCAATTGGAAGGTAGTAGAAAGAAGGGACACATGGTGAGAGCACAAGAAACCATCCTTGTTACAATAAATTCAATAAGCATGAGATTGGAAGATGGCATAATTAGCGATAACTTTGCCTCTTGCTCAAGCAAACCCGAAGAAAACAAGGATATGGCAAGATCAACAAAAATAAATTCTTGTAAAAAAACCTATGGTTAACCCAAGAAAAAAGGATTGCAAGGAATAAAACAGTGATTAACATTCGGAAGCTAAGAGAAGACGTTTTACTGGATTTAGTGTACTCAAAGAAACATCTATAACTTTCGAGGCCTAGCGGTCACAGGAATAGTGAGACGGAATTCGGCACTATGGCTAGTAGATCGCAGCCAAATTGGCTAGAAATCCACTTGAGATGCCGCAGGAGACAAGCGATGGACTTTCACAGTTTACTCAGAATACAAAGGTTGAATCAAAAGATATAGGTCATGTAGATAATGTAAGATATCTGCAAGCGTGGGAATTAGAGCCTAGGAGCTCTGCTCGATGAGGCCACAGTATAGGTGCTACAAAAGGCTTGCGGCAGACCATAAGAAATAGGGTCTAGAGTAAAACGTATACTGGAACTGGAACGGAGTGAAAGTAGTCAAAAAGTAAGTAAGTAATAAGAAACCAATCTTCGTAGCCATAAGGGAGATTATGATAGGAGGTCCGAGTCGGAGCAGCAATTCCGGCAAATAGAGAGGGTGTATGGGCAAGATAAACGATTAGGTGTGATAACGCCCCAATAAACGTGGCAAAAATGCACACCTTTTGAAGAGTGGAATATAAAGAAGTCAACAGTTGTGATAGAGCGGGAGTAGGCAGATATATTGTGTATACGAAGAAAATGCGGGTTTTGAAGAATCTTCTGAGATAAGATTGATGTGAAGACTTCATTTAGTATGGAATAATATGATGAAGAGATTCGTATGTCAATCTCATCAGGTATATTGCAACATGGCTTTCTATTTTGAAGGAAGAGCTGGCTGGAAGGAATTGGTTAAGTGGTCTTACAGGAAACCGAAGGATGATTAGCGCTGGATTGTGCGATAAAGTCCTCGGCTCGCCGGCTTGCACAGGCTCATCGGAGTCGCAGGTCGGAGAGCCGAGTACCTTTTTGTACAATCCTGCAGTCTCCACTCCAGGTCAATCTTCCTTCGGTTTCCGGTAAGACAATTTAACGATTTTTTCCAACCAACTCTTCCTTCGAAATGAAAATTCATGTCACAATAAATCACTGAGGAATTATTCGAAATCCAGTTATTATTCATATCTTAGAATTACAATAGGTATATGTACCAGGAGAGGAGTGATAACAAAATCGAGCGACAGAAAGCTTGTCAATGGATTGCAACTTGGTGCTGAGAATGTTCCGACTTATTGACGATGCCAAATCAGCGTCTGGGAATGTATCAAGCTTAAGGTCCAACGCCGGCAATCATCATAACTAGTGTAGCAGAGGATCTCGGACAAGGTACGTCCAGCTGGATAGCCCTGGCAGTACGATCAAGTTGCGAAAACGGGGTCTGATCACTTGATTTAGGCTGAGATGAAAATGCCAATTGTTGGAAGGTGAATAGAAATATCTAAGTAAAGGCTTGTCTACACCAGCCATGTTTATGTGAATAAGTGAGTTTTCGCAGCATATACACTATTGGCGGATAGTAACTGCTAACAAAATCAGTTGTAATTAAGTGTTTCTATCTAACAAAACCATCTTACATTTCCGAGTAAACAATACTTGCAGAAAAAAAGTAATGATAAATACTCGGGATCAACAATAAAGTCAATCATGAACACTTATTCTATTAAGAAGTAGACTAAAATGTGGATAAAATGGTCAGAGGACGATAGGTGCACAACTTTTATATATGATAAAAATAAACGTACAAGTCTATCAGATCTTACATAAAAGTCGTAGTCACTCTAGGTTGTAACATGGGGAACTTGCCACGTATCGAAAATATAGCCCCATCAGGGCTCGATCACAGTTAGGGAGGGCTAATGAGACAAAGTTGAAACTGCAGTCAACTCTGGAAGAGAATATCTTTTAAGAGGCAAGGTTAAGTACTCATATCATTATGGGCAAATTAAACAATAAGCTTTTGTGTAAGTCATTGCAAAACGATGACAAGGAAGGTCATTACCGACCAATCGGCCTACTTGTTGTCCACTACGACCGAAAGCCGATTGGTAAGACCACGAAAAGTTAGCAAGATACATTTAGACAAATGCCGAGTTATGGTAACAAAAAATGTTTTTTAATGAGTATCGTCAGGCATAAAATCAATTGAGAATTGAATCTTTTGTAAATAACAGACGCTCTAGTGAACACACTTTAGGCAAGAAATATGAGATGTATTCACCCCATTTCGTTTAAGGTGATGAAGGACTGGTAGTAGAATTTTCCCAACATGATATCAGTAGAGCTGACGTTTCCATTGAATTTCACATTGCCTTGTTATCCCTAAAATTGTTCTTATCCAGGCACCAGTGGACTGCAGTTTCGAACTCGCATCGATCTTAGCAACACCCCCAGCGGGAGTCGAAATAGGGTGAATATATCTCTTATTACTGATTTACTGGTAGTCTCGAAACTATACTTAAATACGAAAAATAAGTAACATATAGATGTTGTTTGACCTTGTTTTCGCAACTTGGTCATATTGGTAGGAAGACTTATAGGAACGTATCTTGTCCTGAGTCCATTTTATGCATAATTATTTCCAAAGTGGGACCGTGGACGTGGTACATTCCTACCAA